TTTCCCATAAGGTTCAATGTAATTACCATTAATCCGTTCCGGCGTCCGCGGACCACACGTCAAGGGCGGAAAAACGGCCGCGGACCGTGCGGCAGGGCGGAAAAATGGCTGCGGACCGCGCGGCAGGGGGGAAAAACGGCCGCGGACCGCGCGGCAGGGCGGAAAAACGGCCGCGGATCGCGTGGCAGGACGGAAAAACAGCCGCGGACCGCGCGGCAGGGCGGAAAAACGGCCGTGGACCACGTGTCACGGGCAGAAAATGGCCATGGACCACGTGTCACCGCGGAAAATGGCCGCGGATCCGTTTTGTACCCCGAGGCGGAGTTCGCAAACCGAGGGGAATTTTTGCGGCCGGAGCTGGTCGTAACCCGAAAAGTTTGTAAGCAGAGGCGTTCGTAACCCGAGGTACCACTGTATTCATTAACTCCAATTATATATCATGCTAATAATGTGTGATGTGTGAACACAGCCAAAACCTTGAATGTACTCTATTGGATTAATGTTATGCCAAAGGCAAACATTTAACACCAAGACTTACGTGGGCTGGAAAACTGTACTCAGGCATTGGATAATATGCATGAAGGGATACTGGCTAAACCCGCCCATCACTTTACAAGCAGAATGTCTAATGAGGCAGGAAAACTGCTTAGCCTCACAATTTCACAAATTGCACTGCAAAACACTAATAATATAGGAACAAATTGAATAAGAGGTTCCAGTAATCAGCCACTTCCCCTTGCTAAACAGAATTTATATACAATCCTTACATTGTTGAATTAAAAGGCTTCAGATGCAAATCATGTTATACATACCATATTTCTTGCGTATCTCATCATATTTCACTTTTCTTTCATGTCTCCTGCAAAGAGAATATAACAAATATTTAAGATAATTATAAAATAAAAATGACAAACCAGTGCTGACATATTCTGCATAGCAATTAGAATCAGTGAAAAAGAAGCTCATCTACAGTCATTTCTACATCTCAAAATACATTTTTGACACACATAAATTCAATAGTGAACTGTATAAGCACAATACAAATACAATTTGTAAATTATACCTATTGCAGTGTGGTACTCATATCTGTAAATACTTATTTCAATGTAGCATCTGAATCAGTCCTCAGTTCAAAGTTATTTTCCCTCCTCCAAATCTCATCTGTATTGATTTCTAATGACTGAGACATGCATAATGAATGTGGTATGAATACCAAACAAGCTTTTTAAATATTAGCATATGCAATGGCTTGTAAAATGAAAGATTTTTCAAAGCTAAAACGAGTTAAGTTCTAGATTTTGACACTATCTAGAAAGATTAAGGAAGCTTCAAGTAAATGTAAACCTCTATTAGCTTCAAGAGTGGAAGATTTGAGATGTTTTCTTCTAGTTCAGATCAACCCTTTTGAATAAACTCCTCTGGGACCAATAATCTAAGCTAAAATTGAAAGGACTGCAGGAGATCCATTGTTACTCAATAGCCCAAAGCCAACAATAAATTTTGTTTGACGTAGAGGACAAGAACCAAAAGACATCCATGCCTTTGACTTAGAACAGACAGTGATATCTGCTTAATTCTCATGGGATTTACTGGATTGATTTAGCATAAATCCTTTCTTGAATATAGTTACATCTAATGGTTCTGTGGACTACAATTCCCACATTCCAATTTCACTTTTATTTAAGGTAAGACATATGATTAGTTTTTACTACTGCTCTGAAGATTATACAAAGCAACACTGAGATCCACTTCATGAGGATAATTACTTGCCTGATGTTGGGGTGTTGTAGAAGGTGGGCAGGAAAAAGAAAATACAAACCATTCCATTATGACTTCTAATGGAGATTATTTATACAAGCCTGCATTTTTAGGGCAAGACCGAAATTGACATTACTGATCTTAATCCTTAGTCACCTCCTGTCTAGATTACTGCAACATGCTCTACACATGACTGCCTTGAAGACCACTTAGAAGCTTACGGCTAGTCCCGAATGCAGCAGCCAAGCAATCATAAGCATACCTCAGTGCTCCTATGTGACACCATTGCTACGTGAGCTGCACTGCCTACCAGTGGGCATCCAGTTAAAATTTAAAGTGCTGGTGATTCGGTCTTTATTCTGAAATTATAACTATTTCAGAATAAAGACAGAAAATGCTTAAATCTCTCTCTCTCTCTCTCTCTCACACACACACACACACACACACTCTCTCTCTCTCTCTCTCTCATTGGATCTCTCTTCTCCATCTTATGCAGCAGCAGAGTAAAAAAAAAAGGTAAGATGCTGAATTAAGGAAGCAACTCACTAGAGCTGGCACCTCACAAAGAAGTAAATCACAAAATACCTAATATGCAATTGGTAGTGGAAGGATACAGGAAAAAACAAAGTGGTATTGCTTCCTAAGACAGGTTGTTTTGCTGACTCTGTAGTCACCCATTCTTAGGTCCAAAAAGACATGGTTGTTTCTCAATTTTTCCTTCCTCCTTCCATTTTTCTACTGATGGGCCCAACTTGACCTAGAACTGCGTTCTTCATAAGCTAAGCTTATCCCTTCTTCAATTAAGTGCAGTTAGTCTCTTTTTAATGCCTTCAGCAGCATTTTATTTGTTGTTTCAACAGTCTCTTGAAAAGCTTAGACAAATGACATTAATAAGAATCCCCCATCTAGCCTTCAGGATGGAAGCCCCCTTATTATTTTAGACATTTATCAAGGAGACAAAATGCCTATCCAGGTGGCTCTTGTAAAGCCACAGGACATTTGTCAAATTATTTTTTTTTATTTTTAAATGAATTATATTTCACTAGACTTTATATATTTTTATCTGTGATTCTTATGTATAGGTGTTTTTAAAAACTGTAAATTATTAGCTGCCTCTAGGTAAAGCATGTAATATTAATAATATATTTATTTGCTTTATATATTGGATTTCTGTTTTCAGTGTGGCTACCAAAAATTTTAAAAACCTTTACAAGGGTTAAAAACTAAAAATTGCTAATACAATCAATTGATAATTAAAAGTTTAATGAAAGAGCTGTGCCTTTACAGATTTCTATATACAGAAAAAAGAGAGCAATATTTAACTTCCAAGGGAGTTTGTTCCATAGCCTACAAGCAGTAGAGGAGAAGGCCTTCTCTTGCATTCCAGACTGACAATTGGGGGTCTTCAAAAGTGCCTCTCTTGCAGATATAAATGGCTGGAGAAGCTTGCAACAGAAGAGACGATCCCTTCAATAGCCAGGCATTAAGAGTTTAAGTTGTGCCTGATCAATTCTAGTCAACCAGTGCAGATCTTTTAATACGGGCATCTGCCATGCATACACATAAGAAAAATATTATGATTTATCCTTATTTTGTACAGAATGCTACTGCTGCTGCACAGAACTGAATTTCAGCAGAATATAGATAATAAAATGAAGCAGCACCATAGCAGGATATTGGTAGAATTTCAACCAACAAATGGCCCAGACTGTTGCAATTCATGCTCCTGCCTCTCTTCCACTTGTGACCAGCAATAAACTTGGATCCTTGCATGTAACAAGCCAACAAACTATTCTGAAGCTCAAAGCTTTTCACTAAAGACAACCTGAAAGGCACCAGGAGTTCCTTTTCTGCTTCTGCAACCTAACAGGAGTCAATATTAATATAACCAAATACTTTAAGATACTAAGAGAGCAGTAACACAGTTAAAATTTCCAAACTTACCGCTGAAGGGACTGCATTCGTTTTTCTTCCTGATCTCTAATAAACCTTTCTTCTTCTTCTGTTACTCTCCTGAAAATGAGAAAATTCTCTTGTCATTTCAGAACTATATGCCAGAAATATACTTCAACTGGGATTAAATTATTAATTTACTGAACTTATAATAGGGAGTTATCACATTTTTAATTGTACAGTTTCAAGGCATGATTACTTTTATGTGAGATAGGCGGCTACATAAATACGATAAATAAATAAAAAATAAATGATTAGCTTACAGTGTGTAAATGAAAATAGCATTTGATAATGTTGGCTTCAGATTCATCTTGGCCATCTTTATTGACTTATGGCCAAGATATATCTGAAGCCAACAGTATCAAATGCTATTAAATTCACACTTCATCCTAAAATTCTGATTTAATCCTTAAATTAAATATAATTTATAGAGTAGATTTCAAGATCTGTAGATATATTAAAGAGGTATGTTTTACAGTATATAAAGAGTGAACTTCATCTAGTATACTCTCTTCTGCACTCAAACTACATGATTTATCAGGATACTGTGGCAATACCACAAATACAGAATAATGAATCATGCAACTATTATATTACTGAATATATTTTTCTATTAAGTAGAGTAGTAGATATTCCCTACTTTCAATTCATATGAAAAAATACGTGTGAAAAAAGAGCCAGTAGAAATGGGAAAAATAAACATTCCTTAGCTATTAACTTTTGATTTGTTAGTCAAAATAGGAAAGCTTTATTTACCACTACTGTACTTTGAGCATGTCACAGAAAGAACACTGACATCCAGTGGACATGTTATGTAACAAAGGTTAAAGAACTATCCAAAAATGCCATGAATTTACATATTTAATGAAATTATCTACAGGACATTTTACTTGGTTTATCAGTATGTAAGCTTATTTTAAATGTTAGTTTTTTTCAGCAAGTTTATACACAACCTTGTATTTCCTGTACAGGTAGTCCTCATTTAACAATGGTAATTGGAACTGGAATTTCCATTATGAAGTGATGCAGTCATAAAACATGACATCACATGACCACATTGCTTAGGGATGGCAATCCCTGCAGTCCCATTGACAATGCTAAGCGAGGATCGCAGGTCATTAAGCGAGAACCTCACATAATTGTGACTTGTGACTTCCTGCCTGTTTCCCACAAAGTCAATGGAGAAACTGGCAGGAAGTCACAAGTCCCAGATGGCTCACAAGCAGACAGGCAGGCAGGCAAATGAGTACTATGGAGTGAGGCAGGGCAGGGGAGGGTGTGGCAAGTGTATGCAGGCTGGGGAGGGAGTGCTGCTGCACCGCACGAGTATGTGCTGGGGAGAGGGTCCTGCTGTGAGGTGCGAGTGTGTGCAGGCTGGGGAGGGAGTGCTGTGGGGAGTCCTGAGTGTATGCGGGCTGGGGAGAGGGTGCTGCTGCAGCACTGCTTGAGTGCATGCGGGTGGGAAGAGGGTGCCACTATGAGGCGTGAGTGCAGCTGGGCAGGGGAGGGGGTGCTGCAGCCTCAGTGTGCGCTATGGAGTACGAGATCCCTGGGATCTCGTACTCCGTAGTGGAACTCCTCAGGAGAAAAAGTGATGGGAGCAACTTGTAACCTTCCCTGCCGGCTTCCCCACTGCATTTGCTCGTGGGAAGCCGGCAGGGAAGGTTGCAAATGGCAATAATGTGACTGCAGGATGCTGCAACCATCATAAGTACGAGCCGGTTGCCAAGGACCCAGATTGTGATCATAACTTTGAACAGTCACTGAACGAGTGGTAATTAACTAAGGACTACATCATATTTCTTTTCCTTAGAGCTAATCTCCATGTAGGGGCTGTTCAGTGTTCAGGGGCTGTAGGCAACCACAGGCCTACTGTCCAAGTGCAACCCACAAAGTCCACCTTGGGAAGTCCATTCAGGGAGACTTCCTGTGAGTGCCATGGCGAGCTGACATCCTGCTCATTAGCAGGACAGTTTTGCGAGGAGAATCACAGCTGGATGCTGGATCCGAACTGGCGAAATTTCCTTGGAAGAAGTAGAAATTGTTGAGATCATCCACGTGACTCTGGACAGCCACTTCGCATGAGTAGGCCGTGGAAACTGCCGTTTTGCAGTCAGCTTATGAGTGGAGAGGCTGGGAGTTGGGATTTCATCAAGTTCACGCTTGCAAAGCAGCCTTTTAAGGACATTAAGCTCGACCAAGCCTTATTTCTTAATCACTTTTTGGATTTGGATAATTAAATTTTTCTTTGTTTACTGGAGAGATTAAGACCCTTTGGACTAGCAAGGTTTTACTGTATTCATCGGGTGAGTTTCCTCCTCCTTAGAGAACGATGATGTAAATTCAATTTTAAGTTTTGAAAATCTATCATTTCTTGGACTATACAGCAAAAGGGTGCTTAGTATATGGATTTTGGAAAGTTAACAACGGATTACGGAATTATATCTTTGAATTAATTAGAAGATATTTTCTCATAAGAAAATGGCAACCGTTGTGGCTTTTTAAATGATAACAAGAATGTTTTGGCTGTTTTTATGATGAGGAGACGTTGAAGGTTGGACACTAGAGGAAGTGAGAAGATAAAGAATATGGAGCAGATAAAGAATATGGAGCAGAAATCTATATTGCAAACTTTTGAATATCTATTAAACTTCTTAAAAGAATGGATCGATTGCTTGACAAGACGGACAGAAAGTGTTGCAATGAAGTTATAGAACAAGAACAAATTGCAATGGATGTTTATGAAATTATTTGGAAGGGGGTTTAAATGTAACACAAATTGATCTGATGGATAACTTATTCCCTAAAGGACATGCACAGATATTAAACCAAGAAACTGATTTGGATAATTTTTTCTTATTGGATATACAAAAGAAACTTGTTAAAGATCTGAAAGATTTTTGCTTTGAAACACAGATGACCAGTAAACTACCTCTGGGACTCTCTTTGAAGGGACTAAAGAATATTTTTAAAAACTCTGGGAAAGAATACAAAGTCGGTTTGTTCGATCAGGGCTAAAAGAGGAAAATTGTTATATTTGGTTGCTTTTACTGGACTTTTGCTGACAAAGAACAATTGATGAAGCATTTGGATTTTGTTTTTTTACTTAAGAGATGAACTATGGGGAGAAGAGAGATTATGTTGTATTTAGAGAAGGTGATAGGCTATTAAATTTGTCTTTACTTGCTGGGATGAAGGGGGAAGTTCTTTTTTCTTTTTATTTTATTTTCTCCTTTCCACACCCTTCCCTTTTTTTCCTTTTTTTTTTTGTATTTTTCTGTTTGTATTTTTTGTATTTTGTATTACATTTTATTATTTGCATTTATAATTCTTAATAAAATTATTTGAAAAAAAAGGTCAATCCAGGAGGCTTTTTAAGAGTCTCCATGGATGCCAATGGAGGCTTTTAAAAAGCAGATTAAGGCATGGGGCATTTTCAGTGGCTTAACTGATAGGGAGAGGGGGTAATTCATCCCTTCATATGCATTCCAGCCTCCTATAGCCCCCAAATTCAAGCCCATATTGAATTTAGACTATTTGTAGAAAATGACAAGCCCTGTCGAAGAAAAACGATATTTGTACCAAATAAGGGGGTTTAATATCACTGCCCAAAAGGTTACATACGTGGATTTATTTGACAAAAAATAATACTTTTTAAAAATAATTATTCACAGATCTGGAAAATTATAATGGCAAACTTTTTAAGATGGAAAACGTTAAATCTGTCTTGTCTAGGAAGAATTATGGCCATCAACATACTACTATGGCTTAATTTTCTGTTCCAAATTATTGTAATAAAAATTGAAAACAACATATTAAATGATTGTCATATACAAGTAACAAATTTCATATGGCCTAATAAATGATTGAGGATTAAATTTAAGATACTAAGAATGAACGGGTTTGGCAGACCCAAACTTTAAACTGTATTATCAAACTACCTGTCTAACTTGGATTAGAGATAGGAGCTATAACTTCCTATTGTTGGGTTATCTCCATTGAGGGAGCAACACTCTCAAGATGGACTGTACAAGCAGAAATAAACAGTTTATAAAAGATTATACAATAAAAAGCAGCATATTAAGTCTGGGATTAATCAATCCAAACCTATTACTGCTTGCTCCTTATATCTGACTGAATTTGGAAACTTTGTAACACAAATTTGGAGCATTTACTAGGCTTTATTTATAAATTATTAGTGAAATATGACTCAGAAACATGTTAAAGAATACATGATTAAATAAATGCAGCATTTAGATACAATTATTGTGGGTATTTCAATGGAAGAAAAACATCATGAAATATTATACTTAGAGAAAACTGATATAAGACATTTTACTGCTGGTATATCTTTCCAATACTGATTGTTAAAATGGACAATTCATTCTTTAAAAAATATTAGAAATACAATGATCAGATGGCATTTTTCCATATTTGGTGGCAATGTTGTAAAGCTCAATCATTCTGGAAAAAGATTTGTAACAGAATGACAGAATAGTTTTTTTCTCTTGTGCTATTGCTCTGTTAAACACTGTATGATTTGATATGTACTG